AAAACCAAAGGCTAATAAGAAAGCAAACAATGCACCAAAATGTAGATTTCATATATCTGAGCTTCTTTATTAAAGCACTTCTATTGCACAACATAATATTATTGATATTGTGAACGTAAGACAAGTCAATTTGATTGGTCATATCATGTCACTTCGACTGAATATTGTACACAAATAAACTCTTTTACGCATGCTGGTACACATGCTCGTGAAGTAATTTAAGCCAATCAGCTCGGCTTTAAAGAAAAGCTTAAGCCTACCTGCGAACTTGGCGTGAGTTGTCATAGTAAAAGCCATAAATTATGGATTGTTGTAAGTGACTTCAAATCAGTGCAGCTTTGCAGCAAAAAGGTTGATAAGTTGTCATGTCACAACGGCTATGAATAATTTGACCAAATTATTGCGCCTCAATGTTGATAAATTGTATTGTACGTATGACATTTATAACTACATAAATTGGTACATAAATGGGGGGTTTCAATAAGTTCATTCTACAGAAACTTAATTAAAATGAGAGGAGTTATGCATGACGCCGCATCTACAGAAAGTAATTTTACAACAAATTAGATATTACACAAAACAGAAGTTGCCTACAATTCAACATCAACCTACTTCATTCAACCCAACCTTACTTAAAAGACAATAGCATGAAACAAAAGCAAACACTGAAACACAATAAATATTTCATATATGTATGCTTCTTCTCCAACCATTGAACTTCACGGACGACATCATCAAGTCGCAACTGTAGTTCGGTATCATTGGTTTGCTTCTTCGCCAATTGTTTCACCAACTCCTTATTCTCATCCTCCATTGCTTTTGCCTCGGTAGTTCTTAACTCCAGCCTCTCGGATAGCAGTTTCTCCATAACTTTTTTGCACATCAGTTGCTCATGCAACCGATCTTTTTCAGTCTTAAGCTTGTTAAACAATGTTTTTTGGAACGACGGCAATTCGGGATCAACCCAAACAAACATGGGACAAGCATCAGGCGACTGTCATAAAAGAAAATAACACAAAGGAAAAACGTCATGTACATTCAGTTTATCATTTTTCATAGAAGTAGAAGGTCACATAAACACCTCCAATAATATACATCGCAAAACAAAAGTGTTACAACAGATGTACCTTCCACCTAGGACACTTCAAGAACCTTCTGGCCGGGTTTTCATTCGTCATTGATGTCAAAACAACGCATTCCTCGCCATGATCACATAGCTTGATCTCCAATGGATTATGGTTGGAGGATCCATAAAATCGGTTGTTCGAACTCGTGTGAGAAGAATTTGACATGGGGCTATGTGATGCCGGTTGTCCAAAAACCAGTTAAATAGAAAAAAATAAACAACAATCACAAGCAAAACATGATGCATATTGTCGTAAACAATGCGTATCAAATTCGGATATTTCAAGCATGTATATGGAGCAGCATGAAGCACTTCAAAGTCACAGGTTATTGTAAAAAAAACCGCAGGAGTAGGTAGCCGACAACAAATTTTAAACTACGTAAAACAAATTATAAATTCCCATAAACCTGTATGCAACTATGTGACACGGAATATTTTTTTTTTTCCAAACATGAAATATCATATATACTGAAGCAACATAATTCCATTCTCAACCTCAATCTCCAGTTATAAATTAATAAAATATACTCCGTTGGATTTTTTGGATAATGGCAGTGTCGATGCACTGAAAATGCAACTATGTGATGTTAAGTTTATGTTAGGAATTCGCTTCTGATGATCAAATTTTCTTTTCCCAGTTTGTATAAGAGCAACCCAGCAGTTCTGCCTTCAAAAAGAGCAAACTTGGTCTCTCTAAATGGCTCACCTATGGCTCAACCTTATTAATATAATCTTACACCAAAAGTGGTACCTCTTCATATGTGTGAGAAACAAATTCATATTCATACATGTGATATTCATGTGCTAGCTGGTTAGATGATGCTTATCACACAATCTTGTTGTCTTTGCTTCTGGTATTTTTTTTAATTTAAGACAGTTTCCCATTATCAATGAAACTTCAACTCTGACTATATGTACTATTGTTCACACTTGTGTAGAAAACAATATTGTAACAAGTTACAGTTAACAGATCACAGACAATGAAACAATTAACAAGAAATAATTCAGAGCCATTTAACTCTTGCTACCATCAATCACAACCAAACAATGAAACAATTAACAGGAAAAAAACATTTCTACACTAGGCCATAGCCATTATTTTTGGAAAACCGAGTACCACATACGCTACCACACAAACATCAAAGATAGTAATGCAAGCTATAATAATCCAGGAACACATTCAACCTTATGATTTCACAAGAAACAAGCTGCAGAAACTAAAATAGGTGATAACCACCAAGCAGCAATGCAAGAGTAACCGAGAGGAGTAAATGTGAATTGTTAGATCAGAAAAAAAACAATGTGAAATCAGAATAGATCAAGAAACTGATAAAAATTTGGAAAATCTATGAATCTAGGGTTCGGAAAGCACCCTTATTACGAACCAAATCGTAAGATCCCGGCTCACAGATTCAAAATAGAGTTCAAAAACGGACTAAATATATCAACTTTAACACAGAAAAAAACAAAATTTGAGATTGAGAGAGGAAAATCAAACCTCTTCTTGCTGGCGCCGATGTACAGATTGGATAGAAGGTGGAATTGTTATTGTCTCTCTCGTATCAAGAATCCGTGCCCTTCGATGGAGTTCACTTACCGTGGGATTGCTGTCGATTTTCACGAGCAATTTCTCTGCCAATTTCTCTGCGATTTTTCGACTATATGCGAAGAAGAAAATGAACATAGATGTAACAGATGGGGCTCGATTTTGTGCAGGCACAAGGGTAACTTTGTCATTGCATTGTGTAACATGCGAATTAGTCCAGCAAAGTAAATGTAAGATTCATTTATGCGAATCACAAACAGGAAGTAAACAAGGGACTGATTGATGACGTGTAAAGTTATGTGGGATAATTTAGCTTATCCCAATCCCCCAAAGTAAACGACCCCTAAAAGTATGTGATTGGAAATTAGAACATATAAGTAGGGGCATTGTCTCCACTCTCCACTCCACATGCGTTTTTTACTATTGATTTCACACACATTCATATTGGTGTGTACACGTATGTACAAATAAATTGTGAAAAACATGTGGGGCACTACTCACCGAGTCAATGT